GATATGTGCAGTCTCCGGGCGGCTTCGGCTCCCCGGCCGCCACCCAGGACAAGAGACCGGTACGTGCCCCCGCGCCTGCCCAGACACGGGCCTCCCTGCTCCCCGGGAATATTTGGCAGCTGCCTGCGGGCCTGGCCTGTGCTGCAGGCAGGAGGCCGAGCATTTGAATGCTACTAGCTGGTTTCAGACCTAACTGGGAACCATGCTGAACATTAACTCGCTGGAAACGTGCTCTCACCTTCCACGGGTTTTTGTCGGAAGATGACCGGGGTTTTGCTCTTCTGGTAGCGGTGCCCGTAGCGCCTGTGCTAAGTACGTGGTACATAACAGAGTTCAGCATGTGGGCTGGTCTGGGCGGCTCTTTCTCTGCTTGCAAAGATAAAAATGTGATTTGAAGCATGAGAAAGACCTTGTGAGCGCTCGTCAAGCACCAGGAAATCTAGAGGTGCGAGCCCTGTTCCTGGTAGTTCTCAAGCGCAGGTTGGACACGGTGCTTGTCTGGGATGGTGGTGGTAGGGTTTGACAGCTCTGAGGAGGGGGTTGGACCAAATGATCCCCTGAGAACCCTTCCAGACTCTCTCTCTTATGGTTTTGTTTCTCTGGACTCTCCATTCCCTCTTGCAGAAGTCTCGGTCCCAGAACATCGTGCCGTGTACAGTGTCTCAGTTATTTTCTGCTGTGCAGGTGGATGAAACGTTCCAGGTCCGAGATGTAGAGATTTCACAGGTAGGAATCGGCTCTGGAACACGATGTAGGTTCCTGTCGATCCTGACACTTTTCCCAAAGTAACTTGTTTTTTTGGTCTGCATCTCTCTAGGTTGTTATTATGGGGATCATCAGACAGGCAGAGAAAGCACCGACAAACATTCTCTACAAAGTGGATGATATGACTGCAGCCCCTATGGATGTCAGACAGTGGGTTGATACTGATGTAAGCACCAGGTTAAACTTAGGATTTAAGATAAGGGGGCATTTAAGTATTTAATTTTTATCCATCTTTTCGGGTCCAAAAAAGTGGTATTTACCTTGTAATGTAATGCTAATTCAGCTGAGTACAGGGACTTTTTTTTTAAAAAACCAGGCCTCTTATTAAATGAGCGTTGGAGAATTCTTTGCCTACTCTGTCAGAGAGTCTGCTTTTGTATTCAGCATTTAGTTTCCTTTTTCTAAATGCCATAGGAACTGTGTGCATGTTAATGCCCTAGTAGGGTCCTTAATAGATAATATGCCTCTTTTGGTGCGTTCATAATATGATGTGCATAAACCTAGATAAGCATCACTCTAACTGAATCCCTGCGTTTATGGGGGCTGCTCTTCTATTCTTCACTTTCTCTTCAGTTCTGCAGCATTCCATATGTCTCATTAAAAATGTTGTCCTTTCAGTATTTTCAGAGTTATTTCATAACTGAATTGAGGTCACTGTTGAACACTGATTCAAATCCTGCTTTGCCCATAGATGACTAATTGTTGCTTACACATCCAAAACTAGCTATGGAAGACATGTTTTGTGCCACTTGTGGACACATCCCAGCACAGCTGATCTGTTTCATTTGGCAACATCTATTTCTAGCCTGAGTCAGAGGGTGCTTTGCTCGTTGGCTTAGTGAGATGGGCACTGCCATGGAGGGGTAGGTGCCATAAGTTCTGGTCCCTGTTTCTGTCCCTACTGTTTCTCCATTTTTTTTAAATTTAGTAGTCCATGGATAGAATGGATAGATTGCAGCGGGGGGAGGGGAGGTGTGCAAAATAAGATCCATCATTAGTTTCCTTGAATTCTCCCACACTGATATAGTAATGCACATTTCCTTTCCCTAATATTTTAGGGACATGTAATTGAAAGCTAACAGTTTAACCAAGCTGAGTATATTTGAGTGTGTGTACCATTCAGTTGTGGCACCATACTGAGATGCGGTGCTTGCTCTGTGCACGCCACCAGGATTTGTCCGCCTTAACATGGCACTGAGCATACGCTAATAAGGATCTCAGAGGCAGAGCTTATTGATGGAGACACACTGTGCTATGGCAGTTATGCTGCTTTGAACTTTGGGTCGCGTCCAGATGAGCAGGGGCATGCACTTGCAGCATCACAAATAGTAGTGGCACAGAGTTGTGCTGCTACTCTGTGCCACAGTGCATGCCCCTACACATGTACTTTGTGAGGGACAAATTGTTCTGCTTCAGGCAAACTGCCCTTTCCCAACTCCTCCTGGCTCCTGGTGTGCTGGACCAGCTGGGGCACAAATAAAATAGTGGAGATGCTCTGGCCAGCAGCCAAAGCATCTCCCTGAAGGACCAAGCCTCTGTTCCAGTGCATGCCACTATAGTGTGTGCCACACTCCTCTTTTTCCAGTGCTTTTTTTGCTACTGGGAAATCCTGGTAGTAAAGTTTGTACCTGTGCTGCAAATTTGCAGCACAGGGCACATTTTAACCTTCACTGTGTGTAGTTTTTGGCACCACAAACCGCACACCCCTTCTCATCTGAATGCAGCCTGGGAGGCAATAGGCCCACTGCTTGGCATCATAATTCACCAATATAGACACCCTTTGAGACAGCAAATTTTAAGTGCAGGCAAATGAATAACTTCAAAAGGTGTCCTGCAGTTGCGCCAAAGCAGCTGGCCACTCTTGTGGTTATATCATTGTATTTCTGGCAAGATGCTGTAATAAAATTTGTTCCTCTTCTGCGTTATGAATTGTGTACATAAGTTAGGGTTATAGTTCTATCTGGTGAACAAACAAAAACACAGAAAAATGGTTTCTTGAGATTATTTATATCATCTTTAATTAAAAAGTTTCAAAACAGATATTATGGGCATTTACAAGATGAGCATCATATTTTTTTTTTTAAGTAGCATGTTGCTAATAGCCAAGAAGTAAATTACAACAAGTACAAAGGAAAATTCTCTTTTCCGTCTCTCTGAAAGGAGGCAGGCAGTGAAAACATTGTGGTGCCCCCAGGAACTTACGTGAAAGTGGCTGGACATCTTCGATCATTTCAGGTATTTTCAGCTGAATAGAATAACTGGCCTTAATATCTAATATCTCACAGATATTATTTGCATTGTAGTTCCCAGAAGCCCCCATTAGTTTATTGGAGGTTCATTGTGCTGGACACCATACACATGCAGAATCCCACTTGGCGAGCCTACACCTGGGGAGGGTTTGAGTCATTGTCATTGCAGTGTGTAGATGAAGGGTGGCTATCCTGTGATATAGGCAGCTTCTGTGTGTATCAGATCAGGGATGGGGCAGCAAAGCAGATGAATGGGTAGGGAATAGAAAGCAGAGTAGTATATTAGGCAGGAGAAGGGGATCAGAATAGCACTCCCAGAGACTTCAGGGCTAACTTGTGGCTGGTCTGCAAAAAAAAAGTTGACCCCTATTGATGTAGACTGTAGTAGGTCCTAGGCTGCTTAACACCAGGGTTGAGAAACTTTGGGCTGCAGGCTGGATTCAGCCTGTAGCAGCCCAAAAATCAGCAGCCTATTCCAGCCAGAGCAGCAGAGGGAATGTCTCCAGGGCCTTTCCACCCATATTCCCTGTATTCCATGTATTCCCTTTGCAGCATCTGGTTGTTGGTGAGATGTGCAGAGATTTGCAGCTTACACTGGGGGTTAGGTCACAAGTAGTGACCTGCAGTGGCAAAAGTTTGCCAACCCCTGAGTTAATGGCAAAATAGTATAGCATTTGTTTGCATACGCTTGACCAAATCTTGAGTAAGAGAAGAGGAGGCACTGCTGGAGGGCTGCTTCCTCCAGCAGTGCTCCATCCTCCACTGCTTTAGATGAATGAATATTATATCACTTTTGCTTGATGCGTCTCATCTGTACTCTTTGGTCCTTTAGATCTGAGTTGCATATCATTATTAAATTTGCAATGAATTTATTTTCTTGAGTATTTAACGTTAGTGGGACAGGCTCTTCAAACCTTTCTTGGTTCCCAGAATGCTTCTGGGAGGCAACAAGTGACATAACAGGGCACTTAAAAACTTTGTATGCGTTTAAAGCTCAGTACAGATGGATACTAGCTGGCGACAGAATCAGATCTGTGTTTTTTTTTCCTTTCTTTGTCCATTAGAATCCAAAGAAAAGGCACTGTTGCGCATCTGGTAATGCATATTTTTAAAAAGTTGAGCGAGTGATAATCATCCAGCATCAGTGCTGCATTTAAAGGAGCACTCACTAGAGTGTAGGCCTTTCCATAGATTTTCTTTTTTTCTTTTTTTGCAGGCAGCCATTTCTGTCCCAGTCAGCTATTGCCTGCTGCCTTGGTGCTGCCTGGGGTGTGTGGTGTAGAAAGATGGGTATAAAGGCAGATCCTTGCTCTAAAGTGCTTCCAGTCCATAAAGGCATTATATCTTTGATTTTAAGTTGCTCTTTTCTATTTCCTTTCATACTTACAATATGAATATGACCCTGGAATATTTTCAGTTTAGGGCTAAGTTATTGGTTCTAATTATATGAAGATAAGTTCCATTTCCATCGTTATCCCTGCTCTTAAGGTTAAGATTACATTGTGTTTTCACAGTTAAAACATGTTGTAATTTCATACTTGGTTTTTCATTTTCCTCTTCCCCAAAAAGAATAAGAAAAGCCTGGTAGCATTTAAGATCAAGCCTCTGGAAAATATGAATGAATTCACTACACATCTGTTGGAAATAGTTAATGCACATATGATCCTCAGGAAACAGACTATGGTACGTCTTTGAATATTACTTTATACATTTTAGCCCTTACATATAAAAGAAATTCTAGCCTGTCTCCAAAAGTGATAGAAAGCTTGGTTCTTGGGGAAGAAAATGGTGTCACAGCCTACAGAAGAAAGGCAACTTAGTGATAGTGAAGCAGATACTATGGCTTTTCCAGAGATGTACTGTTAATACCGCAATTAGTCTCTAGTGGTTCAGGATCACTTTTTCTCATTATTGTTCCTTGAAATAATATAAAGCAAGGGTGGCAAACTTGCTTTGTGCCCTGAGCCATATCCAGACCATGGGACTCCTTGGAGGTTAGATGCAGCTCAGGGTACATGAAAGTGGTGGTGGCTTCAACATCCACTCCTCTCTTTCCCACCCACCTGCTCCCCTGTCCCCCACACGTCCTGTGCCACAGCTTGGGCTCAGGCTTCAGCCTGGGGCATGCAACAGGGGCCAGCAGCTGGGGGGGTTGAGCCGTGACAGTGGTGACAGGCAACTGTATTAGTAGCATATGCTCACCCTTCTGCCACTAATCACCATGTCTGTTGGGGCCCAGATTCTGCCACACCCCCCTCAACTTCCAGGGGCCCACTGGTAGTTCAGCAGGCTGGATAGAACAGCTGCTTAGCCTGGTTGTGGCCCATGAGCCAAATGTTAGAAACTCATGAAATAAAACCTTCATTTCATCCCATGGTCTTGAAGCAGCCCTTGTGACCCCATGTTTTGCCTTGTTCTGTAATTCTAGGGAGGCTCAAAAACGCTTCAATCTGTCTCCTCTTCTGGGATGGGCACTGTAAGCTATGGAGGTTTCAGTAACTTGCCAGTCAATGGACTTACTGTGCATCAAAGTCAGGTATGTAAGAGCGGTGGCATACTACTTGGGTAGTACAGCAGTCGCCATAATACCACAGGGCCTGCTGACTGGTGCAGAATGCAACATGACACAGGCCAAATAGACCAAAATATAGTTTCCACATAAAGGTTATAGTTTATGGTCAATTGTTTGCTGCTTTCTATTTTAGTGGAAGTTCAGGTGTAGACTGAGGGTTGTATGTGCTGCTAGAATTGCAGCATGGGTCATAATTGGAAATGGCATTCAGCTGTCCCCTCATACTGAAGAGTTTAACAACCTTCAGTAAGTATAGCATTCTGCAAACAAAAGAACTAGTCAAGCTTGGTAACTGCAATAGGTACTGAGGGAAAGCAGT